CAGGATTTCATCTTGCGACAAGGAACGTTACACCTGACGTCATATCGACTACGTCGATACCATGTTGTTGGGTATCTCCTTTCAACTAGGTTTTATGTATTCCCTACGGAACATTCATAATTTTTTTATTAATTTTCGTAGCTTATAAAAATCGTATCTACAGTATAACTCAACTCTCGAGCACCCAAATTGTAATTTTGCCTGTATCATTTGCGGATGAAATAAATGAGGTAAGTGAAGGGTGCAGTCAAAGAGGGCGGCACGAGTGTTCTTCCCTTACCATTAAAAGTGATCAGTGTCGGTAAGCGTAGGTAAGCCACCACCGTCAACTGCTGCATGGTATTACCATCACGAGTACGTGAGCCGCCAGTGGTGACTGGTAGATGGTACCGCCATCGCGAGTGCGCGAGCTCCTATCAGAAATTCGTTGTGCCGCCCTTGGGGGCAAAAAACGGTGAAAGGTAACGTACGAAACCAGAGGGCAGCACAGGTTGCGATCGCACGATCCTGCCCGTGAGCAATCTCCCAACTCATCTCTGGAAAGGAATGCGGGCAGAAGACGACGATGAATATGTCGAGTGAGCGAAACGTGACTTTAAATGTTTCCACATAGGCGTAGTCTATAGTTGATAGCTCTAAAAAATCTGAAAAAATTACAGGCTCTACAAAACGAAACGTATTTTTTTAATGCCAAATATGAGTCCATAATAAGTTCTCTTATTCAAGAAAAAAATATTTATCGAATTGACGGGCCGAACTTTGGCGTAAAGTATTCGGTGCCGTTCGCGCATGCTTTTAAATGTATTTGGCGCGAAACTCTACCGAGTTTCCTGATCATAATCTTTATATGGTACAATGAACGATAAAGTTGTTCCCATTGATACCTATTTGTTGTTTCTGATTATATGTTACAAATCTAAAAATAATTGTAATTCTTTGTTATTTCAATACGTAATTTCTCTCGTAAACGTGTATTTTATTTTTGTACAATTGGTGTAATTGATATTGAATATTTTAGGATGTATGTCCAAGGAGGGAACACGGATGCCGAAGAGTGCAAAGGACATCGCTAACCTAATATTATTCATGGACAAGTTGTTTGACTTTCTCAATGGAACGTAATAAATCAGAGGCCTGAAACATTACGCTGCTTAGTGAGAGTCAACTCAGGATATGAAGAATGTTGGTTACATGCCATTAAATATCTGGGAAAAAACGAAATTTATTCGCAGATCAATTGTACGGCCGACACGTTTCGACAACTACATAAATCATTTCATAACAACTATTCAAGGATTTATGCAGTTACGGGAACGATTACTTTTAGAGAAAGGTTTAAATTGGTTTTTTCCGCGGTATTTTAATCAAGATGATTTAGAAAATTTCAATGGTTTATTTCGCAGTCATGGTTATCGAAATGTAAGCCCATCGTATTTTCAGTTTATTGCAGTGTCCAAAGCTCTTTTAGTCAGTAATTTGAATTCCTACCATTCTTTGGGAGCGAATTGTCAAGACGACGAGGGTAGTATACTCTCTAATCTGATTAATGCTTTAGGCAAACATAACCGTGACAATACTGATGAAATTGAGGTCAATAATAATGATACAATTTTTGCCGATCCACCCATTCCTCAAAACGTAGTTAATTCGGTTTTATTGACTGTTGAATCAAACGCAGCACGTGCCCATACAGTTCAGTACGTGGCACTTGAATTACTAAAATCTATCGATAATTGTGCCTTATGCAGGGCTTGCATTTTAGCACCTGCGTCTGATTCTGACAATTGTAGCACGTGTATGGTAACGGGTGAATTTTTGAATTGTTTCATACAATGTCAAGAAATGATCCGTGAATTGATTCCGAGAGTTTCATTTCGTCGACATCTAGCGCTACAATTGCAGGAAGAACTGTCACTTTTGAACCATTCAGCTGGCTGAAATGTTAAACACACGATTTTGTGTCTAAAGTAACATTCAAGAGATTGATAATTAGGCTACAGATTCGTGAATTTTGCAGAATAACGAAGAAAATTTTATTAGGGAACGAAACTAGCTATTGTCATAGCGAAAATATACTGTTTCGGAATACTACTGTGTTTCGTTCGAAATGCATGAATCGTCAAACGAGTCCGTGATTATTTTTTTCTTGCGATCTAGTTTCTTTCTTAAAGTATAACATTTTCTTTTGAATTGTAATTTAAAAAGCGTCACGTTATTTAATTAAAACTAAAAATGTATGGTGTTTATTTAATTTAAATTTAAGTTGATTAATTACATATGAAAATGTATTACTTTTATTTATTTTCAGTCTAAAGTTAAATTGATTATTTAATTACATATCAAATGTATTGATTTTATTTAATTTAAATTCAAGTTGATTATTTAACTACGTTTAAGAATGTATTATTTTTTATTTAATTATATATATAAATTTTTGCTGTAAATAAGTACTCTGTATTTGTCTTTAATTATTATTATAATTATTTTCATAGATTAAATGCGATCTATATTTTATATTAACAGAATTTGCATAACGAAAAATATTTATACATTTATAATAATTTACATTTTTAATTTATTAAATGTTTTACTTTTTCACTAATGTTTAATGTAATTATTTTAGTATTTATAGTGATTTAAAACCGGGGTTGCGCCATTGACACTTTTGTTATTTCTTTTATGTATCATATACTGCTTTCTTACATTTGTGTGTGTCAGTTTAAGCAACGTCTGTTTTTGATCATTGCAAGTACTTTTTAAATCCCGAAAATATCCTTTCGTTTAATAAATGAGTTTGAATAACCCGCCAAATAATTTAGTTCGCGAAAAAGATTTACTCCAACCGTTGATAGCGGTAGTGCATAAGCGTTACAGCCCAATACAGGTAAGTGTAAGTGCCGTCCCTCTGCTTGAGAGTAATCTGGACTGAGCATGCACTGGCATACACATGCTGGCAATTGGACATGAATTTGAAGTAATTCGAAATATGAACTCGACGGCGGATGCATTCGCGGCGGATATATTGCAGTTGTTACCTGTAGACGAATGGTTCACTTTACGTGACACGCTTAAGGAAAATTGGCCAACTTACGCATATGTAAATCATATATACGTGAGTGATAAACAAGTGTTGATTTTGCTCTAAAATAGTGATTATATTTTTAGCATTATTATTGGGTTGAGAATGCTATCCAGTGGAAGAAGCAGAATCCAAATATAAAGCATGATATTTACTGCCCAGAAGGAAAACTGTCCACTGGAGTATTCATCGGAATATCAACTGTAAGTCAGTAATGTAACTGAATGTAGACATCATAAATTCATCATAAATTTCGTCATTAATTCTTTGAATTGTGATAAGAATATGGGTACCAGAGCAGATGTGTTCCGATCACATAAAGTCTTCCATTAAAATAAATTATGTTTAAGATTAAGATATTTCAAGGACTCTTGTAGCGATTATTATTCTTACATTTATTTATTTTATAATTTTGTTATTTATACAATCCATACTAGTGATTTTCTTGGGTGTTACTGTATTACTCCTTTTTTGAATGCACAATTAATAGAAACAATATCTGCAGAAATTAGTACATATTGTTATATACGTTATACTAATTTATTATTCAAAAGTACACACAGCAATGATACAAGTCATTAACTTCACGCGGTGCCGATGTAAGGTCGTGATACAAGGTGAAGTCGTGAGAACTTCGGAGTTCTCATAAAGTGGAGCGGTCGAGATCGGTGATCTCTGCGGACTGGAGAAGAGATTATTCTCGCGGGAGATATTGGCAAGATCGGTAAATCGTGATTACGGTTTCTGTAACACCTTGTATACGCTGGCATAGATGATCCAAGCAATCGAGACACCTTTAAACAGTATTGATACACCAACTGAAAACTGCTTTGTGAGTGCACATTAAAAATTAAAGATGTTTTACATTATGCAGTAAATGGGGCGCCAAGTACGTTGCTGCCAAGTCGGGACGTTCTGACGTGTGACGTTTGATGTGCGATTGTGTTTTTTGTAAAATGTACGGCGACACTGTAAATAACTCATTCCATTGAATACATCTTTCAATTACTGTGCAGTGAAAAGAAAAATGGATGGGTTGGGCTTACAATCTAGTATTCTGGTTTTACTAACTCCCAACAGGAGATACTTGGTTTCTCTCGTGATTTCACAACTTTTTAATGGCAATATTTTTCAATCTACGGCACATGTTTCTGAAGAATTGTATTCCTGTGGAATTACATTTTTGCAAAGCCTTTTCTTCTAGATTTACAATTTTTGAAAAGTAATATTTTTACATATAGAATGTACTGGCACGAGTAAAAGGAAAAGAAAAGGATGGAAATTGTCTCTCAGTTAGAACGCCTTATTCCATCAGCGGTACGCTATATTTAGTCGTCATACAGTAGCAAGGATTGGATTTATGGCTTGCAGGTTGCACGAATAAATCTTTGGATAAGTTAATTCGAGAAAATGTTAATGCGTTGTCGCGCCTGAGCTTCTTTTCGTCCCGTTCCTTCTGATTCGTGTCAAGAAAATATATTTTCGAGATGGAGTGTTTCACTAACCGATGTAATTGAGCACGAGTTCCTTTATTGAAAGTCGCATTGAGAAACCTAACTCTGTTAGGGATGGCTGATCAGCCTAAATTTGAATTGTGATTCGTTTCTGATGAATTATTTCTGATAACGGGCAGCGGAATCAGTATTGCCGCGAAGCTATATTTATTCTTGGAGCGGTGCTCTACTGGGGTTAGTGATACTTACACTAAATTATTCAGTCGCGGATATTGACTGGTTTCGGGTTTGACTGAGGTTAAGGTGTTCGCCGTGTGTCGAAATGACAGAGCTGAAAGGAAATCGATCGAAAGTGAATTTGTAGAATAGGAGCGATAAGAAGGCGGGATGGCAGCTTTGCCAGGCCCGCTGGATTTTAGGTCCTGAAATTAAACAAAATCGTCCGGTTCGTCTCGAGATTTTAAACCCTGACCCGAGTAGTGAACTGCAATGCTCGGTACTTCGAGGATGTAGACGAATCTCGGAACGAACTGTTATTTGACGAGCAATCGCAACTCCCCATACTTTTGATTCGACACTCGTGGAGACGGAATCCAAGTGAAGTTGGTCCGCGACGCTCCGCACTCGCGGTCCGCAGTTTTCTTTCCCAGGGCCTCCCTACTCCTCCTGAGTATTGTTGCGCATGTTCGAATCATGCCGATATAATGGTCCCGATACAGAGGTACAGGTTCGTTATCTGACCTGTTGTATAACAGATATGTGAAAAATCAAAAACACCTTCTTCAGGTGTAAAAAAACTTCGCTAAATATATATATGTGCCCATCAGTAGTCCTTACTGTCATAATCTCGGTTATATTATTTATGTTAATACGGTCACAAAACAACTAAAATCAATTATAATGCACCAAATACAAAAAATCTTTCTTCTCGGGTTCATTCAATTCTTTTATTAGTTAAAGAATAAATACACAGATCTTTTATTAGCTGAAGAATGAATACACAGAATTTATAAAACTATATAACAGAATCTATAACATGAAACATATATAGAATTTTTAAAAAATTTTTGGCGAGCCGTTTAATAATATTTATAATTCCTGAAAGCATTGTAGGCTTTATGTTATTACAGTACAGTGTTACGTAGGCACCTTCCGCACCCTAACGTAGGGAAAAACCCCATTTTCTAATCACCGGAGCTAGCCATGGAAATCCGAACACGGAAACGCGATTAGGAAACTCTTGCGAAAGGATCCAACGAGTTCATCGGCCAAACGGCTCCAAAAGTTATCGACCGACCCGGGGCGAACAACCTGATGACTCCTCAACGCATCAGCACGACTCAGAAACGCCACCCTCACCTGGGCCCTAGGAAACCCCCACCAATTGGAACACCCTGATAATAAAACCAGCAATCCGATCAAGACGTTAGGTCATTAGTCATTTGTCATAAGTCAGTGTCAGTTCTTACGCTACACGTCAGTCAAGTATCATCGAAACTTCCAGTGGAGCTCCTGGTCCGTGTACTCCGTTCCTACCGAGTCAAAGACCGCGACCGCCGGACTCCCTGCCAAGGACCACTATCCTGCGAGCTGCAGTAGCGCCATCCGGTACTCCAGCGATCCAACCACAACCACCGAGTCAGGACCAGACGGCGGCACTGCGACTTCCGTTGGACGGGAGACTTCTAGGAGACCTCCAACCCTAGGGCACGTCACGGGACGAAGGTGTTCACGCACAGTCATCCGACTGGGTCGATCAAAAGAGACTGTCACCGATTACGGCCGCTGAACAAGCCAGGTAGAGGTTCCTTCGTAAGCTCGACTCATCCTCATTTTCATTCTAGTCTATTTATTAACCCTTCATTTTCGACCAAAACCGAATTCTAACCATTATCGCGATTTCTATGCCTTGCTCCGGTTATCCGGATAGATTAAGAATCCATCGACTTCCATTAAACAGCTGAGCTCGAATCTCAGCAGCGCGAAACAGAATTACGCGTAGACCGCCATTAAAACAGTAAGAAATTTCCGCATCAGCACTCCGGCGTCCAGTAACCTGCCGCCGCTAAAGCGCGCTATTACGACACCTGAACCACTGCGACGCGGAAGTATACTAACCTAGAGAAATTAGGTCAAGGCACCTCGGGTGCCATTCCAGCTGATTGTATTTCAGACCTCACGTACGAATAAATGCAAATCTTAATACACTAGCCACATAGCCATTCGTCCGCACCCCTTTTTATTCCTCACTCCCCTAGATCCCACCAGAGGAATTGATCTAGCCGCTCGGATCAATCTCCTCACAAACTTAAAATATTCGTTACGCGCAAGATTTGGGTAATCTCCATCTGAATTACCCCGGCCTCGTATCCGCTCGGCCGCCCCGTAACAACAGTAAAAGAAGCGGGCAGACAATGATATGAACGCTAGTAAAAAGTTGCATATTTGGTGACATTGTTGTGATAATAAAGTTTCAATACCTGTGAGGCTATTTATTGGCATATTATTACGCGGCTCGCCAAAAAGATCGGAAAAAGCTGAGAAAGGACGAGGGGCGAGAGAGGGCATGAAATGGCAAAAAAAGGGAGAAAAGAGTCGAAACATGTTGGGAGTAGGGGAGGGGCGTAATCATGTCTAGGTTTTTGCCAGAAAAAGAGCATATGCGGGAAGCTCTGCTTTTCTGCTTCAATTTTAAGAAATTCGGTCACCGACTTGCAAGGACATGTCGCCGAATTGCGTCCTTAATAAAATTCATTGTCTTTCTTAACAGGTTTAATCCCGTAATTCATTGATTAAATCCTGTTCCATTTCGAATTCCGGAGTTGCGTGGCATGAAGAGCCTTTTTCATCCATGTGTAATCTCGAATATTCGGTGGAAAATTCTTTGAATATTCCACGGAGCTAGGGTCAGGGCCTCAAGGGCCTAGACCTTGGAAAGGTCACAAGTCGCGTCGACGCTTGCCGCTCCAGGAGCCGACTCCCAATTTCATTGCATTTTAAGCTATTTATGCGTTTGGATATTTCTATCTATAACCAACTTCTCTTGAAATTCCTTAGGCTTCGTTACGAAAAATTACGTTCAAATTGATTTTTGCAAATTTGTTTTATGCCAATAAATTTACATTCATTTTCTTGCTGTTATGAAAAATAGAGTTTGTTCTCTAGTTTTTAATTAATTTTGTACTGAACTCCAATAGCTGGGCCAAATTATGTTTGTCATTGTTATGCAAATGAAGCCATATAAATGTAGTGTAATAATTACTCTGCACGGTCATTTATGTTATTTGCTTTTATTAGAATCATTTTTTTCATTCCCATAGATTTTTTTTCTTGTTACTTAGATTGTCAACTACTGGATAATTGTCATATACAAACAAATATAAACACTGCGACGGGTTTTTCCGGCCCCCGGTCGGCAAGTCGTCCTACGCCCGGGTTCGAGTCTGGACCAGGGGTCGAGCCCGGTTTTCGGCCCTTCCGACGGCCCGATTTATTAAGGGCGTCAGGTGCGCGCGCGCACCTCGGGCTGTCGGGAACCGGTAGCCCGGAACACGATGACCCCGCCTGCTAATCGCGGCCCCCGGACGTAGCCGACCGGCCACTCAGCCCCGCGAGGACCTTACGCCCTTCGCGGCACGGCAGAGGTGGGGGGTTCGGCGCGGTTCCCTCCGAGTGCGAAGGTGTCCCTTCCGGTCTTACGGTTCGGCGGGAATTGCGGGAAGGCAATGAAAAGATAATAAAAATGGTGGCGATAACGAACCCCGACGGGATCGAACTTTTATTCGGGGCCGTCCACCTGGATCGCGCCCGATAATCAGTTAACCGTTACAGAGGAAAAGGGGGCGCCCGACGAACGGGACGGGCGCTTGGCGGGGCGCAAAAAAAAAAACAATAAAATTGAGTCGCGGTGGAATTAGGGATTCCCCTCGGTAGGGGACCCTACGGGCACAACGCCCGGCCGGGAAGACTTATTGGGCCCCCTTGGTGCCTCGATAAGGGCCCGGCGCCCGGAAACTGCGCCCTCGAAATGGCGCCGGCCCGCGGTCGGCACCCTATCCTCGCCCACCGCGTCCTGCGCGCACGCAGCCTCAGAATTTACGATTTCTTTCACGGTATGGGGGCTCAGTAAAATAGGCGGGCGAGGATCTCTTCCCGGACCTTCGTACGGACTCTACCACGGGACGCGATCCCGACACTCCTTCGGCCCACGAGGACCGGGAGGTGCCGCCCGGCGCGACAATGGCGGCCCGGACCCGATCCGCCACGCGGTCATCGGCCGACCGCACGCACCGAAAACCCGGGTGTCGGCACCCTCCGGCCGTCGTCGGGATTCCGGCTCACAATTAACGCGACACTAAATCCGGGACGAACGCGAGAAACGGCGGACGGCAAAATTGGCTCGCGACAATATCGGCGGGACAGGAAACAGCGCGACTTAGGAAGCCCCCTGGGCAGGTTCGGGCTCACCGGTCGCCGGTCTCTGGGCGGGAATTCTTCCGGACGGGAAGCAGCGCAGCGGCGTTCGTCGGGATGTTCTCCTCGGGACGGGACGGTCCCCGGCTACGGCGGGCGTCGGGGCGGGACGCGCCTCGTCGGGACGGGACGCTCCTGTTCGGAACTCTGCGGGAGCCGCTTTGCTGGTCACCGGAGGTCCTTCCTCGTGGTTAGTCCCTTTGGCAATGGCGGTGTCGTTGACCGGCCTTTCGCTCCCGCCTTGATGATCTCCTAGCGGGCCTAGCGGGACCTAAGCCCGGGAGCCGACCTGCCCTCTGGCCCCGCCGAAGTGGGTCACTATGCCGACTAATTAGGTCGGCCACCGGCCGATGGCAGCAGGTCCTCCTAATTGCGGGGCGCTTCACGTGTCCCCCGGGATTGGGCAACCGGCGGTACTCCTCAGCCGGCGCGCAGTGCCTTGGTACCTAGCGTCTTAAAGCCACCCTTTTTCTTTATTTTCTCGCTCCCCCGCCTTAACCTAATGACTGCCAAGGGGACCCCTCCGCACTCCGGCCTTTCATATACCCCTTGTGATGGGTGGGGAAATTCACCACGTCACAACACATAAAATATTATTACAACACTCATATTCTTTTATATTTTTATTGTAGTTTTCAGGATTTAGAGTTTATCCATTCGCCACAGGGTCATCGCAAAATCTGCTCCATAAGTCATTACTAGAGAGTCAACGATTGGATTGGAACACGGGTATAGTAATTGCTGCCGTTCATGAACACATTCAACCTACAGTGTATTCTGTTTTAGCTGATTTAAAGTCTCAACGCGGACTTGAAATAGATTTCTCCATACCTGGGCAATATTACTTTAAATCGGTAGAAGAGTGTGCAACAGTAAAAATCCAGTAAGTATATACAAGGTACAATATTGTGTACCGTATGTATATAAGATACTTGACATAGATATAAATAAAAATATACCAAAAATTTTAGAACATGTACAAATCTGCGCGTTGTTTACATACATATAGTTTACGTATTTTTCAACATTCAGCAGCCATGTATACTAGACATGTTAATTTGATTTAATTTAAAATTCCATGTATCTTAGATGTTTCAAGTCATATATTGCGACTTTTGTATGGTGGGTTTTAAGGTAACAAAGAGATGCCCCGCATCTTCCGATGGAACGGAGTCCTTGTCCCTAATTCTCACGCCGCGTCTGAGCTGCACCCAGTTTATATAAATTAATGCTCATTTGAGCGTCAGTCATCCCATGATATTAATATTTATTTTCGCCGCGTTGCCTTCACCATCCCTTTCTCAACTGGGGTCCCGATCTCACTGCGAGAATGGTGTCGAAAAACGAGGGTGAAAGGGGAAATTTGATTCTACTGGAGGCATCCCCGAGCGGAACTTCTACTTTCAGTTCAAAAAGGACTCTCGGACTTGACTTTGCTAGTGAGAGACCAGTTACCTCAATGAAGGTAACGGAGGGGAGTGTGACCGAGTTTTGTGACCATAGCTTTATTTTCGAGAATAGTCCGATCCCTTCTGAAACTAGTCGTTAGGTTTGCCTCGAATATTGTGGAGAGATTCTAGGAATGTTGAGCTCAATTGGAAAATTGCGCGATATAAGCCGATCACAAGTTAACAATTTTATGATGAAGGAACATCAAACTTTACGGGACATTAAGTATTTCGTATTCGGTAGACCGTGCGATTTCGTCGCCGATTTTCTCACATAAGGCTCAAGTGTAGCCGTTGTCCGCGTGACACGGACTTGTTTTCCACGTTAATCCCCACCTAATTACCTTCTGATTAGAGGGGATTCTTATGAGCCGAATTACAGGAGTAATTACGCCATGAACCCACGTTTGCGGTCTGCTGTTCGACATCCGCTGATTTCGGAGCCACTGCATATACTTGCGTATACGACCGCGTCTCAGCTCATTCAGATACGTCGTTATCTTCGCACCTCTATTACCTTTTTTAGTCGGTGGATGGCGCTAGTGGCGCACAAGGCGTCCCGTGCGGGAACACCTTCCTCTTACCTCAAGACCCTGCTTCCTTTCCTTAACCTCAAAGCGGCTGTCAAGTGCCAAAACGTAGTGCATAGGGACATATAAGAATTTACAGAAGATGAGAATGAGAAGCATTGAATATACTATGAAGTGTATATTACCGTCAAAACACCTTCGGTGTACAAAAGTTCAGCCAAATACATTTATCTTTATTCAAATAATTGGAAAAATAGCTCAAATTGCTCCCTTCCCATGAAAAGCTCAAATCAACTATTTTTGCCAAATATCGTAGAACGTTCATTCTATTAAAATCCCATCTGAAATCTTTTTGCCACAGTATGTCACAGTACATTTGATTTTACATATATTGTATGTATAAGATTTTTTGCTTCCTCAAACCGAAGACAAATATTAAAAACTATATCGAAACAAATCAAAGAATTAGAAATTAAATTTGAAAACAATATTTTATTTGGCAAGCACCAAAATGATCATATGCTAGGAATATACCTCCCCACACGGAACAAAAACTCTATTATAGAATATTTTCATGACTACGGGATGTTTCAGTACATGAGAAGTTAAAAATATACGCATAATATATACTTCACGGAATGTCAAAAATATTCTATTGGATTTTAGATGCACATTGTACGTATTAAATATGTTACTAGGATATCAAAATTTGCCCCAATTAAATACGTTTAGTAAACGTATAATATATCTCTATTTAACAGGAATTTGTATGTGTAGTATTTCACATGCAAAAAACATATAATGAATGTATGTCGTGCGTATATTAAGGGAAGAAAAACTGACCTATCAAAAACGTAAAATGTATATATATTTTATGCACGTATATATACATTATTTTACTCGCCTGATTGATATATGTATGTTATACGTTACTAGAGCATCTACATATTCACCAATTAAATACTCACTCGACACTCGACGAAGAAGGAATAATATACCGCGACATCTCGACCAGAAACATACGACCATACGTACCCGGTAAGCTACGCAAGCAAATATTTCAAACCGTCCGTCAGAAATTCATGTGGTCAGGGATAAAAAAGAAATTCTAAATAATACTGAGGGGATATACCCGTAAACCCCACACCGGTATGACTTTCTTTTTCATTTCTTTCACGGCGAATGGCGACATTTCCTCGTTTCAAACAGTTTTCAAACGATTTCATCAACTGATATAACTTGTGTCATCGTCATATGGGTCATATACAAATAGGGTTAGATGTCGGCATTGACTGATTGGTGAATTGAAGATTGTTTCTGGCGCGTTGTGGCCAGAAATAAATATTATTAAAAATAGTTTTGTTGTGAAAATAAAGTACGAAGAACAATTCGTATTGTATTAATTAAATTCATGTTATGACGATATCGTAATATTATAATTGTCTAATGAGATAGAGGTTAAGATCTAAGCTGTCACTTTTCAGGTAAAACATTTCACGACGGAGAAAGTAAAGAATCCTGTTTAACTATTTGACAAAATAGTTATTCTAAATTCAGTTTCTTTATACATTTACGAATGCCTCTACATTTCAGACCAAAGATTTAAGACCGCATGTAGAAGATCAGCTGGTGGCGGGGTTTCAAAGGAAAATATTCTTAATGTTTCCTGAATTGGTGGAAAGAAATATATAAAAGAGATTAAACAGGTCGAGGTTTTTGTCTGTTAATTACTTTTAACATTAAAAATTATTTAAGATTTTCTATTGACATTTTCAGAAAGCTTGTAAACTTTAAACTATCGATTTAGCTAATACAGTAATTTTTGTATACGCCATAGAATGTAGTATATTACTTTGCTCTTCTTACAGTTATCAAAATTAAAACAATGTGCAGTCACATCATACATTCGACAACAGGGACAGGAGACATTAGAGGATATTTGAGTGTTCAATAAGTGTCCGCGGTGTTTAAAGAGTGAACCAGTGTAATATAAGAAACCTGAAATCATTCATAATATTTGTTAATATTAAAAAAATTTAATTAAATTACTATTAAAATACTTTCAAAATAGAAGCATAGTGCTATTAACTGTTATGAGGCTACCCGATTTTCCTCAAAATAGAGAGGCGCGCATGCTATTAAGTATGGGTCAGTTACCGGAAGATAAATATCGAATCCAAAGCAACGACAGTATCGTCCGATTAAACCGAAAAAATAACAACGAGTGGAACAATCATCGAGGAATGTTTTGGCTTATTCGCACGCACTCCGCATCGAACTGCACTCTGGACCAAAACACGGACCTACTCTTCCGTCAACATAGTGACTACCTCAGCACTTCCGATCAAACTTCTAACAACAAAATCCAGAAACAAAGAAACCGGACTCTATCCTCACGGGCATTTCAAGGATAAGATCTCGTATAAAAGCGGTACCGAAAAGCAGCCGTCAGTAGTATAGAAGAGTTCAAGACAGCGTACAGAGCAGTCTCAGGAGCGAGGCTGGAGCTCTTTGAAGAGCTCACCGTACCGTAGTAACAGTTGTGCATTTCGGTACTCCGACATCCACGAGCCAACGGTGAGAAGAACGACGGCGCTGCGAATTCCGGACCAGCGGGAGAATCTTAGGAAGCTCCAACCTTAGGGCACGCCCCGGTTTGAAGGCGTTCACGTGCAGTCCATCGCAACCGGCAGGTCGCAGGAAAGAGACGTCACCGGAAGTAAAGGCCTCTGCGAAGCCAAAGTACAGGTCCTCTTTGAAGAGTTCCACTCTTCCACTCTTCAACTCTTTTACTCTTTTACTCTTTTATCACTCTATTTCGAACCCTGTTCCAAATTACTAACTCACAATAGAATTCGGCATCTACCTTCCGGTAACAACTATCAAATATTCTAACTCTTCAAGTATGAATCGCAACTCATTAGCCGCCCTTGCTGAGTAAGGCAAAGCGCATCTTGCAAGCAAAGAATTCCGCGTCAGCATTCCGCAATTGATACGCGGACGTATCTTGATTACACTTCCGCGAGGTGCTAGCGCGCGGCCTACAACGTCCTTGTCTCGATCCGCGACGATCTGCCTGACTCGGTGGTTGGATCGCTGGAGTACCGGATGGCGCTACTGCAGCTCGCAGGATAGTGGTCCTTGGCAGGGAGTCCAATGGTCTCGGTCTCTGACTCGCTAGGAACGGAGTGCCGGGGCCAGGAGCTCCACTCGAAGTTTCGATGACGACTGACGTTGACTTATCACAAATTGACTAAAAGACTGACTATCTCTGACTTCTGATCGGACTGCTGGTTTTATTAGCAGGATATTCCAATTGGTGGGGGTTTCCTAGGGCGCAGGTGAGGGTGGACTTCTGAGTCGTGCTGATGCGTTGCGGAGTCATCAGGTTGTTCGTTTGGCCGATGAACTCGTTGGATCCTTTCGCAAGAGTTTCGCGTTTCTGTACTCGGACTTCCATGGCTAACTCCGGTTAATTGAAAAATAGGATTTTTCCCTATTTTAGGGTACGGAAGGTACCTACGTAACATTATTATTTTATGGTCTACCAGGCGTTTCCTGATAGACCGTCCCGAGTCCTTTCTTAAAACTAACTACATAAATAATGGCTACTTCTAGTTACTACATTACTGAACGCAATCTCTCAAATAAAGTGTTCTCCGGAGATGACAGGTACTATCGTTTCCTACTCGACGGCCTGGCGCATTTTAGATAGCCGTATTCACAGTCGAGATTCACGCAAAAGAACTCAAACATAGCTACTACCTTCCCCGGCGAATAATTCCTGCAAAAAGTCCTATAAGAATCCTACTTGGAAATTTTTTCTACGATTTGGCTATACTCGTCTCGCCACCCTAACTGGAAATTCACACAATTTAATCAGCGAAACTTCGTAAAAAAACAACTGAATTTCGGTTGGAATCAAACTTTGCACAGGAATGACATCGACCGCCTCTTCTCGTCGTTGCTGTTGCTCGCCTCCTCAAAGTTCGTCTAAGGCAGCTTGATACACTCAATTTTTAGGCAGCACACAATTTTAACTTCCGCATCTAGTCAGCTCTGTGGTCCGGATCGAAGAGAGCGAGCCCCCTAGGTCCTCAAACTCCTTATATTCAAAATTCCTCTTCTACCATGCTCAAGGCGGTTTTCGGCGGCCGATTCGCCGAATTCCACGTTCTGCCTCCAATGCGGGCTCTTTGCTCGGCGCCGATCACTCGCAACGCGCCGAGTCTTGCTGCCTACCACGCGGTTCTCGTCCTCCAGGGCCGTTTCTTCGGGTTAAGGCAGTAGATCCGAAATTCTATTCTTCAGAGTGTCCCTGCACGTCCGCATCCTAGCCTGCCGTCCTAGGCGAAAAAGTCGGGGAGCTCATCGTCGCGGGAGGAATTCTTATCCTTACGTAGGGAGGTTGTTGAGGCCTCCCTCGTCCCCCTGGCCATCCTACTTCGACAAGGCGCGGCCGTAGGCCAATGTTTCTTTCACGCATCTCCATCCGCATCTAATGTGGAATCGCCCATACACCGGGTGCGGAATTCTGCCTTTCCTATCGGATTCGGGATTTAGCTCCAGGCTGAGAAGTAGAGACCCACGGGCAGTATATTCGGCTTTGGGCCTCGTGGGCTCCGCATCCTGTCCTCTCCGCGTCGCGTGGCTCCATCCTACCGGCTTTTTATGGGTCCCTTTCCTCGAAAACATCTTGTTCACCGCTCAGTTGTTTACTTCTTCAGCTGTTGCTTACCCGTCAGTTTGAATCTAACTACGCATAACTATCCTACACGACGGTTCTAACAAAGACTCGAAATAAGACGCATTACCCTGTGTCATCTTTTTTCTAAATTTCGAGGAGATAGACGGACTCGCGTACAAAAGTGTAAATGTTGATCGCTGTAATTTATCATGGGGAACAGACAGCTGAATCCCGAAGGATAACTAACAACCGATTCGCAAAAGATAACTAACAGTTGAACCACTGAGGACAGCTAGTAATCGAATCGCAAAAAGTAACTTTGAGAAACGTAATATAACAGATTTTTAATCGCTAATAATCCCCAAAAGATAGTTCCTAAATTTTTCCTCAAAATAAGACAGTCTCTCCCGTCGGCACGGGGTCTGACCACCGAGTCAGCTACTCAAAACTGTCCAAAGATAACAAAATTATTGGCCTCGTGACGCGTGCATAAACATGCCACGTTACAGTATACACAAACTTTTACCCTGTCTATATACGGGAGCCAAGAAAGCGTTCACAAGACCGTTTATTTCGAATCAGCCATTGATCATTAGATCGATCATTAATTGGAATTTCCAGCATTCACTTTAGATCCCGATTCAATATCCTTGAACACCTCCGAGTTCACAAGATCAGTCTCTAGGTCCATCTACAATTACTCAATCTGTGATCGGACACACGCACACACGATAAATTCTCGATTAGAGTATATAGAACATAAACCTACAAAATTACTATATGATAAAATTAACGAAATACTGTAATTTGGATATTAATAATGACTTTATTTGCAGGATACCTGAGGAATGTTACGTGATGAGATTAAACAAATCGCATGTTTCTCAAATTCTTGCTATATGGCCGCACCGTCATGCAACACGTCCGGAATTGTCAATGGCCTACCTTCAATTATTGGTAGAGATGAACACAAGTGTTGGTTTATTTCTTAGAAAAAATGATGCACTTGTTTCGTGGGTACTACAGAATGAATGGGGAGGTCTAGGTATGGTTCAAACTATAGAAGAGTATAAGCGACGCGGATACGCAAAAACCGTTGTTAAAGTTTTAGCGAAAGAAATAGCAGATTTTGGTTTATCGTCTGTTCTTTTTATCGTGAAAGGCAATGCATCGTCGCATGAAATGTTTACTTCATTAAACTGGAAGCGAATGAATGACATTCTATGGATAGTAATGAAAGAATATGAGACACGTACTTGAAATGTTAAAAATTATTCCGTAAGTTGAATTCTATGGCATAGATTGGTGATGTACTAAAACTGTAAAATGAAATCTCCTCAAGACACCTTAGGTGTAAACAAATTTCGCCAAATACATTCTTGTTCCTTTTTTGAATTGCAAGAATAATTCAAACCGTTTTTTTATTAACAAATGGAAATCAACTATATTTGCCGAATATGTAAGTACTTTCATTTTATTAAATACTTAAATCAGATACCATTGCCAAATTATTGTACATTTTGTTTCATCTAATACAAGTATATCTATTCTAAAAATGATATCACTTAAAATCATCTGTTTATGAAGATCTACAGTTTTCTATTTTCATCTCACCAAATAAAACTTAAAACTAAATCTGATGAAATAAAAAAAATAAAAACTCAATTTGAAAACAACATTTTATTTGGCGAGCAGTTAAATACTGACGAGAACTCTAATGAGTACACTTCGAGTGCTCGCCAAATAAAATGTTTTCAAATTGAGTTTTCAATCTTTTGTATGTAAAGGTCTCATTTCAGGAGATTTCACTTCTTTTTGTCAACAATTTTGTAAACGTTTTCTAATAAATTTGATTTAAAAAACATGTTTCTTTTTTCTTATTAGTGTTACGTGGCGGCCGAGTAGCTAGCAAGGTCGGGGGAATTTTGCAGATTCTTTCGAGCGGTATAGTGATTGTAGAAGAATTAACTCGTACGCGCGCGTAACCAGTTTATGATTTGAGAAATACGGAAAGGATAACCCGAGCGGCTAGGTCAACCTCTTTAGTGGGATTGATAAGTTTTTGGTCCTTAAAGGGTAGTTGGAAAGTTGCAGTGAGGACTCAGGAGGGTTTTTAAGGTTTCGTGAGAATTAAGTCGTCGTTCTATATTGAATCAAATAGTTCTATTTGTGATGCAAGGGGTACAGTGTCTATGGGGGTAAGGTGCGCAAAAGATATGCTGTGCTAAGCGGATCGCCGCGAAACGAGACAATGACGTTGTAGGCCGCGCACTAACGACTCGCGGACGTGTAACGATATATGTCCGCGTATCAATTGCAAAATGCTGACGCAAGATTCTTCGCTTGTAAGGTGCGCTTTCGCTTGCTCAGCAAGGGCAGCTAATGAGTTGCGATTTATATTGTGAGGAGTTAGAATTTGGTAGTCGTTACCGGAAGATAAATACCGAGATCTGTTGCGGGTTAGTTATTTGAAATAGGCTTCGAAAGATAGTGATGAAGGGTGAACGAATGAAAGAGTGAAGTTCTTTGAAGAGGACCTGTACCTTGGCTTCTCAGAGGCCTTTACTTTCGGTGACGTCTCTCCTACGTTCTGCCGGATGCGATGAACTAAATGTGAACGCTGTCAAACCTGAGAGGCACAGGTTTGGAGCTTTCTAAGATTCTCCCGATGGCCTGGAATTCGCAGCGTCGTCGTTCTTCTCACTGTTGGCACATGGATGTCGGAGTACCGAAACGCACAACTGTTACTGACAGTACGGTCAGCTCTTCAGAGAACCCCAGCCACACAGAGTATGGATTGACTGACTGAGAGGTCGGTCTTGGTAGAAGAGTGGTTGACAGACCGCCTCAGACTGACGCTGTGCTCTTTTTCGGTGCCGTTTTTATATGAGATCTTATCCTCGAGATGCCCGTGAGGAGACGATCTAATTTCCTTGTTTTTGGATTTTGTTCCTAGGGGCTTCATAAGACGTGATGAGGAAGGGATGTCACTATGTTGACGGATGAGTAGGCCCCATGTTTTGGTCCAGAGTGCAGTTCGGTGCGGAAGGCGTACGAATAAGCCCAAACATTCCTCGATAATTGCTCCACTCGTTGTTATTTTTCCGGGTTAATCAGATGATACTATCTTTGCTTTGGGTTTGATATTTATCTTCCAGTAACTGACTCATACTTAAACTAATGTGCGCCTCTCTATTTTGAGGAAATAGGGTAGCCTCGTAACATTAGTAATGTATCCATTTTTTATATTATATTATATACTTATTAGTAAAGTATATATTTTTTATATTATATTATATACTTATTAGTAAAGTATATATTTTTTTACTTGGTCAGGTTAAGTTTTAATTAATTAATTTAATTAGATCAAGATAGAAAACTGTAGATGTTAATATTTTTTATCGCAGATTTGTTCTTATTTTTACTTTTTATTCGCTCGATTTTTGAGGGCTGATCGCTCGGATCTCCCACTCTACAGTTGCCAGCCCCACGTTGGGCGTCAATTGTTATGGTCTGCACTTATTCCGAGCCTATGCTACGGGATAATTGCAGCCGTCGACGGTTCGAGCCCCGCGACTCCTGAGACTTGAAAAGTAATTTAAATTTAGTATTCAAAGATCCGGGACGGGTTCTGGACGGACTACTAAGGACTGACGATAAGGCCCTTTTCAGGGCCGCAAATAATTTCTACGTAAAGCAACCTAGCATTCATGCAAATAAAAATGATTAAAGAAACACCGACCTTCCTTTCCCAAACGCATATCCTTAAATAAAGAAAAACTCCTCCGTTTCCGACAAGCCACATTACGAATAAAAAAAAAATGTAGTCCCACCGAGTTTTTTTTAAATCGAATATACAACCTGCTATTACGAATACCAAGTGCAACCGTTTCCACCCCAGCATCCGTTAACTACCCACAGTTGGTAATGGCCTGTATTGTAATCTGTCATTCTAATTCGGGTGAAGACTTAAAAACCCCGGAAGGGGTATAATCGTTCGATTACCGTGCGGCGGTAGGACCTTTTCTCTGTTTACCCTATGAATGAACACGGCGAGAACAGCGCTGATCGGCGAAAAATAAATGAATTTTGTAACTATTAACAACTGTAATACCGTCACACGGGGTCAATCAGTACAATTATGAGATGTTTATGTTAGTAACATTTATTTATTTCTTTTAACAAATTGGTTTCAGTTTTAGATTACTGGTAAATATTCTTGAATGCCATTAAGACGCAATTTATAGGGTGAGCAATAGTTTTGATATAGCTTTTGATACAGATGTCTCAATAGACTCCAAGTTGGGGGTCTATAAGTACAAGAAATTAGATATATTAGGTCAAGATACTCAAGAAACAAGGTTTTTTTTTTCAATACAATCTGCTATTAGGAACATCATGTGCAATCCTCATCAAACATATGTTTTCTCGTATTCTTTAGTAACTCACGCTGAAAAAGAAAGAGAGAAAATAGATCTAATTTTCTGAGTTAAATATGGCGAACTCAATAAGCCAGTGGACTCAATTTAGAATTGGAGCTGTCAATTCTGTTTCAGTCAAATTTGAAGTTGATTCAACTACAGAATGTGATTGTGCTCCAAATGTAAGTTGAACGAACTCGCTTATTGAGATCGCCATATTTGACTCAGGAAATGAGTTGAATTTACTCATTCTTTTATACGCGTAGTAGTAAAACAACAAATCTAGAATTTCATGAAAAAACCATAAATGCAAGTCTTTGTGAATATTTTGGTCCCGTTTTTCCCGCTTGAGGGCAGTCTGGAAGGTTTCTAGGGTGTCATTTTTATACACTTGATGGCCAATTTTCTTAACGTTGTTTCTAACCATCTTTTCTCGATTGGTCCCGACTAAGACACTGAAAAGGAAATCAATTGCTAGAAAATTGATGGTTTAATTTTTCTCAACCTGACCTCAAATGCATTACTGTAAAATGTAGTCAAGTGATTGAAGTATGCACAAATTGAACGAAAAACGTTGGAAAACCTTAAAATAAAATATAAGTTTATGAAGCAATAAGAAAACCACAGTATTTCTTGTTAATTTCCTAATTTCATTACATGAACACATGAAACTTACGACGGTAAAAGAATCAAACATAATTCGAGAGAAAATGTTATACTGTGGTACGAATTGATATTTTTGCAGTGCCATATTATATGCAAAACTGTACATTTCGCGACGCTCGAACAGCCCCGTAACACCCCAAGTAAATGTAAATGGTAAATATTTCATTATATTAATTGCCTGATGAACGTGACACGTGGAGGGAAAAGGGAAGGAGGGATGTGAGTCATCCAAAAAGCCTTCGAGTCCGTGGACGCTCAACCTCGGCGGTAGCACGAGGACGGAGGGTTGGTGCGATAAGTGGACTGCATATGTGCCCATAATTATGAAAGTGGTCTAAGTCAAAATTAAAAAAAAAATGAGTTTATCAGTTATTTCACGTCATATTATTTCAAACGAAATTAATTCAATGTAATTTCGAAACAAAAAATATATGACAGACCACTTTCATAATTATGGGCACATATTTGTATTTCTTTATCCGCCCTGGAGGCCGTGCGTCCGAGTGAGATAGCCTATTTGATCCGCTATCCTTAGAGATTGAAGGACAGACTTATGCGGCCGGGTTTCAAGCCCTGACCAGGAAGAAGTTTCCCTTCGACGTGGTCGGCTTGGCTCGGCCGCTTGCTCAGGGCTCGAGGAACCTATACGTGGCGTTCTCTCCTACTCCTTCGGGTCAAAAAAGCCTCGAGAATCCACTACCATTCACAAAACTTCGCGAAAAAGTTGTCATCGCTTTGCACGGACGCGATCGGTGCTCCTCGCAAACACATGGCCCAAATTCGATCTCGGCCAATATGCAGCTTCGTTAGAGCAAATTGACGATGCAGCACCACGTACGCCAAACACGTGCGAGCCGGTCGCGAAAGAGTTGTCATCGCTTTGCACGGGCGACATCGACGTTTCTCGCAAACGGATGGCCCGAATTCGATGTCGTTCAATATGCAGATTCGAAAGAGCAAACTGACGATGTAGCACCCCGTACGCCAAACACGTGCGAGCTGGTAGCGAAAAAGTTGTCATCGCTTTGCACGGGCGAGATCGACGTTTCTCGGAAACGAATAGCCCGAATTCGATCTCCTTCAACATTCAGATTCGTAAGAGCAATCTGACAGTGCAGCACCCCGTACGTCAAATTCGTGCGAGCCGTTAGCAAAAAGACTTATTGCTGCGCTCTGATGGGTAGGTTCTTTGGAAAGGCGTAACTCGGAAAGTACGCAGCGTAGGAGAAAACGGAAAAGAAAATTTCGATTCCAAATGACGTCCATCGTCGATCCCCCCGTGTCCCAACTTTCGGCACCTGAACGGACAGGTTCGGTTCAGGTAGGGGGCGTTCGCGACCGGCGCGATGGATAGAGGACTGGATTCCACAGCGAAATTTCCTTTACCGTTTTTTTCTACGACTCGTGGTTTTGGAGATACAGCGGAAATAAGAATGCTGCGCTCTGATTGGTCGGTTCTTTGGAGGGCCGTAACTCGGAAACTACGCGGCGTAGGAGAAAACGGAAAAGGAAGTTTCGCTTCCAAACGACGTCCGCCGTCGATCCCCCCGGGTCCCAGCTTCCGGTACCCGAACGGACAGGCTTGGTTCAGGTAGGGGGCGTTCGCGACCGGCGCGATAGATAGGGGGATAACCGAGGAGGGGGGATGGAGCTCCCCCCCAGGCATATATTTTAGGGGTTGAAATGGCCCCGTTCCTTTCTTCTGTGTGAAGTGTAAGTGATAATTCGAACGCGTCAGTCTGAATTTTAATTGTTTCAATAATGCAATATTAATCGATTGTCTTCTGCTTAGTGTCGCCACACACAGGGGGGAGATCAACCAGGACCTCGTCGGGCCGAGTTTCCTGCTCTCAAACGTAAGTAACGCATCGACCTTCCGACCTAGTCTCGATATTAATTTACTAAAAATAATTGATTTTAATTTTTTCCTCATTTAGTGTCGGAGCTCAAGAAATATCCCGTTCAATAAAGGACTTCGAGGAATTTTAGGATGTCGAGGTGATGAAGAAGAGATTGACAGATCACGCCTGCTAATTTTATCGATTTCTCAATAAAAAGAGTCTGTTTTGAAATATCTGCTTCTATAATCATTCAATGTAGGATAATCACATGTTTGAATTCCTTACATTCGGATATCCTTACCGATAATGTGAGTTCTCGCCCCTTTGAAACCAGTTTGACTTCTGATCGCTAGGTGGTACTTCATTCGGACCATACTCTTTTATCAACGGTAAAAGTTCTCGCCCTTTTGAAAACAGTTCATATTTTCGCCGCGGGATGGCATTTCATGCGTACCGTACTGTTTTACCGGTCACGAATATTTCGCCCCTTTGAAAGCAGTTCCAACTCTTACAAGGGCGAAGAGAGCGCCAGTGAGCCGTGCCTCACTTTCTAACAAAGGCTTGGAACATCTCCCTGCTCATCTCTGCCTGAATCTTCCCATTAAATGGCAGAACACCGTGGAATCTCCACACGGGGCCAATTTACGGACAGTCCCGAATATCGGATAGATCGGATAAGCGCCGCCATTTTGAATCCTCCTCATCGCCCTACCGGAGTATAATTTCTCCTCAACTTGTCCAACTGTTATTTCTATCAAGATAAATATAATCAGGACTCTCCAGGGCATTTTCCTCGACCGATTAATTATTAACGATTGCCTTTAGCCGTGATCCCGTGGAAAATAATAATTCGGGGAAACCCGATGAAAACTTAGCGGAACAAAATGGCGCGTCAAAGTGCGCAAATTAATCGGGATTAATCCTTTAACGGCCTGATAACGGTCGAAATGAATGGATACTTCTGTAAATCTATCTCTCGGATCTTCCCTTTATAGCCAACGGGAATGGGAATTTATTCTGGACTACTTATTCTTCAAGAAATAAGGCCGAAGATCGCAAGTGCGTTTACTGTAACTACGATCGTTTCTCCACTTTTCCTCAATTTGCGTGCCAAGTCCGTGACGAATTCCCTAACCGGAAATTGTTCCCCACGATACGGTTAATAACCCTCCAATTTGCGGATTACTCCGCTTAATTTTACTTTCTGAAAGAATTTTCATGCGAAAACCAGCCCCAATTATCACGGTATAGAGTACTCACCGGTATAGAGTATTCACCGCCCATGATTAAAATCATATATTTGGCGGGTGTAGAGGTCACGAATCCGTCCACCAATCAGCGAGCGCCGTTTCCCGGCGACCAATCAGAGCGCAGCGCGCGAAGCCCCGACCAATCAGAGCGCGGCACAGCTTCCGCGACCAATCAGAGCGCAGAGCGCGAACCGGCGGGATTTACGTATTTACACAAGTGCTAAAAGACGTTTATAACGTAGCGGATGCCATACATCTGCGACATCTTCAACGGGAAAGTACCCAGCCCTGTTCGGATGCGTTTACGAGCGCCCGGGCGATTGAGCGCGGAAAGAAGATCCGATGTACCGGTCCTCTTTGTGCGTTTCCAGTTAGTCTTGAATCCCGAATTCGTTGGAGGGTGTTGGAGGGTTATGAATCGTCGTTGTCCCTGCGGACGCAAGGAGAGATAATGGCGGACGATTTCCCATATCGCGTGGAATATTCGAAGAGCTCCAGGGCGTCTTGTCAAGCTTGCAAAAACCAAATCGCGAAGGAAACCCTGAGACTAGCCGTGATCGTTCAGGTACGCAAATCTCCATCCCTGCCTTTTAACTCGAATTCTACGATGCATTCTTTCTGGCTAATACAGTTTATTTTTTTTAAATTGCACTTTCAGTAATTGGCATATTGTTCCTGAGATATATTGTGTCGAAAGAAATCGCAGGAACGATAGGTATTTTTCTTTTACATTGCTAATCACCGTGTTAACTTTTTTAGAGTCCATTCCACGATGGCAAGATACCCAAGTGGTATCACGCTAAGTGTTTCTTTCTCAAGCAAAGGCCGCAATCGACCAACGACATCGAACATTTCGACAGTATTCGCTGGGAGGATCAGCAGGAGTTGAAGAAAAAAATCGGTACCGATTACTATTTCATAAATGTCTCGATTCGTTTAACCGTTTCGTCACTCGTCGTAGCGAAAGGGTTAACCTCTTACAAATTGATATTCGTAAGCAAAGGGCTGACTTAAGCAACCATTAGATCGATACTCTGACACATTTATAATGATATATAATTAATCTTTGTAATTTCGATCGTAGAAGCGGCAGCGTCGTCGCCAGGTCCTGCTGCCGGGAAAGGGAAGAAACGGTCGAAGGCAGGTGGTGGCGAGTCTAAGGATTTCAAGATTGAGTACGCAAAGTCAAGCAGAGCTGCGTGTCGAGGTTGCGAGGAGAAGATAACTAAGGGAGAGATAAGAATATCCAAGAAAGATTATGAAACCGACGATGCCAAAAGGTACGGGGGAATCGATCGGTGGCACCATGCCGAGTGTTTTGCAAAGCTGCGAGCGGAGTTGCAATTCCTGGAGAGTGGGGAAGTGCTTGCGGGTTTCAAGAGCCTTTCCAAGGAGGATCAGGCAATGATTAAGAAAAGTCTGCCCGAGATCAAGGAAGAGGAGGTTCCCGTGAAGAAGATTAAAACGGAGACCGATACATCCCCGGATGAAAAGTTAATGAAGGAGCAGAATCAGAAAATGTTCGCTTTAAGAGATCAAATTGCTACGCTGACCAAGCCGCAACAAATTGAGATTCTTGAACATAACGAGCAATACGTTCCTAGCGGAGTATCGAGCGTAAGTAAATTAAATGAGAATCTTATTTTTCATAATATGTCGATGAATTGTCATGAACATTTTGGAAATTATGGAATGCGTAATGTGTATATAAACGGTTTATGTATATATAAGAGTATATAAACGGATAAATGTTTAAATATATCATCTATAATAATTGTTTCCATTTAGATTTGTGATTTACTGGCCGATGTCATGACTTTCGGATCATTGGAGCCTTGTTCGAAATGTGCCGGAAAGCTGACGTACAAAAGTGGAGTCGGTTATCACTGTACAGGAGACTTAATGGAGTGGGCTAAATGCGAGTTCTCTACCGATGATCCGAAAAGAAAACCGATTCGCATACCCTCTGAGCTGAAAGAGACGATCCCCTTTTTGTAAGCTCTTTTGTCTAAACCGCAGAAGGGTTGTTCAGGGTTTTTCTAACCTTTAAATGTAATATCCATTGCAGGGAGGCGTTCAAGCCAAAGGTGGAAAAGCGTTTAATCAAGAAAGTGGCACCATCGACATCAAGCCAGGTAAAAAAGGAAGACCAAGTGGACAGCGGTCCGAAGATCCAAGGTAAACCGAAGCCCTTAAAGAACATGCAGTTCGTCATCCTGGGACGTACACAGAAGGACAAGGAAGAGCTGAAGAAGGAGATCGCCCACCTGGGTGGGAAAGTGGTGACGAAGATCCACGATAAACTGGCAGCGGTGATATCCAACCCTACCGAGGTGGGGAAGATGAACAAGAGGATGGAGGAGGTGAAAGCACAGGACATCCAAGTGGTGACGGAGGACTTTATCGAAGAGGCCAAGGAGTTCTCCTCAGCTCCGTTCATGTTAATCAAGAAGAAGAGTATCTGCGATTGGGGCAGTGATCCGCAGGCCAGGTTGGCAGAATTAATGGTGAACGATAAGAAATCCAAGAGTAAAAGCAGGTTCGAGAAGTCACCCTCTGGCAAGGTGAAGCTGCGAGTCAAAGGAGGTGGAGCCGTAGACCCTGATAGTGGGCTAGAAAACGAGGCCCATGTCTACGAAGAGGGCAAGGTTAAGTATACGGTGTCTCTGGGCATCACCGATATCCAGGCGCACAAGAACAGCTACTACAAGATGCAGATCCTGAAGCACGACAAGCGGAACAAGTTCTGGCAGTTCAGGAGTTGGGGTCGCATCGGAACCACTATCGGAGGGACTAAATTAGATAAGCTTGACCTGGACCATTGCATCGATGAGTTCAAGAAGCTCTACGAGGAGAAGACAGGGAACCTCTGGACCCAGAGAGATCACTTCGTCAAGGTGCCCCATAAGATGTACCCATTAGACCTGGACCACGGAGAGGACGACGAAAACACAAAGAAGCTCTTCGAGTCGGATATCCCCAGCAAGCTGAAGAAACCGGTGCAAGACCTGATCAGGCTTATCTTCGATGTGGAGACCATGAAGAAGGTGATGATGGAGTTCGAGATCGACATGGACAAGATGCCTCTAGGCAAAATTTCAAAGAAGCAGATCCAGCAAGCCTACGCAGTGTTAACCGAAGTCCAGAGATTAGTGTCGAGTGGTGACGCAGACAGAACGGTGTTGATAGATGCTACCAATAGGTTCTACACGTTGATTCCCCATGACTTTGGAATTGCCGATCCCAAAGTGCTGAGCACAGTGCAGGACGTGCAAGAGAAGCTGGCCATGCTGGAGGCTCTCGATGAGATGGAGATAGCGTATAACCTCCTTCATGGTAAGACCGATGCCTCGAAGAATCCTATCGATGGCCACTACGAGCAGCTAAATGCTGACATCGATGTACTCGAGAGGTCCTCCAAGGAGTTCAAGCTCATCGAGGAGTACGTTAAGAACACCCATGCTCCTACGCACACTCAGTATGCTCTCGAGATCGAAGAGGTATTTGTCGTTAAGAGGAACAAAGAGGACCAGAGATACAAGCCGTTCAAGAAACTTCATAACAAGAAACTGCTATGGCATGGCTCGAGGACTACCAACTTCGCAGGGATTATCTCTCAGGGTCTGCGGATTGCTCCACCTGAGGCTCCTGTCACCGGATACATGTTCGGCAAGGGTATCTACTTCGCTGACATGGTGACGAAGTCTGCTAATTATTGTTGCACAAATAGCCAGTCTCCTACGGGCTTGCTTTTGCTATGCGAGGTTGCTCTTGGAAATATGTACGAAAGGTACCAGTCAGATTATATCGAGAAGCTGCCGAAAGGGAAACATTCCACGCTGGGATTGGGCCAGACCATCCCTGACCCGTCAAAGGTTTATACAACCGAAGAAGGTGTCGAAGTTCCTTACGGTCCACCTATTGCTTCTAATCTTAAGAAGAAATCGGCTCTCTTGTACAATGAGTACATTGTGTATGACGTGGCCCAGGTTAAGACGCAATACTTGGTACGAATGAACTTCAAGTACAAGGTTAAGTCCTACGTCTAATTCAGTTCGTGATGATTCCCTTTTCGGGAGTTGTAAACGCAGAAAGAGGAAGAAAGAAATTCCGCAACAGATAATAGAAGACATTCAGAAGAACTTCGATGGAATTATCTTAACACCTTAAATTCCCTTTCGGTACTAACTAGCCATTGTTAAGTTTTCTCAAGACTGGCATTTAGTGATTACAAGTGTGTGCACCGGTGCGTGAAAATTTAAACCTCAATCATATCTCTTAAATTCCTGGCGATGACTTTCTTCCTGTTCCTGATTTCGTGCCCTCGACATAACTCTGTTAGTGACTTATGGTCCTGTCATTTTGTATAAATACTTGTTGGAGGTGTCTCGTAGTACGAACACCTCCATTTAGATTTTAAGCGTTCTAACAGTTCCACAGAGCATTTGCACCAATGAAAAAGTATAAGTGAGATGTCATCTTACACCCGTAACCGAGTATCTATTTATAAGATGCATATTCGCCATTTAATCGTTTGACTGCTACGCGGCGCAAAAGCGCTGCGTTCATTTGTCTCGAAAACCGCGACGCAGCGCTGTTGCGCTGCGTAGCAGTCAAACGGTTAAATGGCGAATATGCATCTTATAAATAGATACTCGGTTACGGGTGTAAGATGACATCTCACTTATACTTTTTCATTGGTTTCATTGGTAATATCTAAGTCTTGTACATGTCACGACAGACATGCCCATTCCGATACCAATTATCATTACCTACTACTGTACTACCCAGCGTTGAGATATATATTTTTGATAATAAAAAAATTTTTTAACCAATCGTAGTGTTCTCGTTTCCCAGTAGCCCTCCAAGTATACAGTTTAAGTATACGCAGGTGTACAGGTTATTCGGTAATATAATTAATATTCAAAATGGAAGTCGAAATAAGATTGGTCAAACGTATTGATTCGAATATAACCATCTTCTCCTCCTGTCGAGAAACTGCGTCCACTAGGATGAAAAGCCAACGAATTGATTGGACCGAAGTGGCCCTTTAAACCTGCTCATCTCTGCGACGGAACTTCCTGACCATGGAATCCCACCAAAATCACCTTTGGTGTAAAAAAAAAAGACAAGTTCATTGCCTGATGTCATTTCACCTTGTGGAATCACTACGAACATTCCTACAAAGAATCAGTAGCCACTATTTTATTATTAATTAAAAAAAAAAGAGTAGAACAAACCTTCTGAAATAGCAGTAGTAATCACTTAGTTTTTACAAAAAAAGACCAAAAAATTATTTTTCATGTTCAACCTACTAAAGTTATGAAATCAACCGTTGCGGACAAGTTTAGACAATTTGAGCGGTGTACCGATGGCCTTTTAAAGTAGTGAAATCAGTTACCGAAAGACAAGTACAAATACAGCTCGATTAATAACCGTTCCTATAACTTTGAATTGTTAATATATTATATGAAAGTATCAGTAAATAAACTTTCAAAAATATCTAACGATGTATGCTAGTATAATACTTTCATGGTCTATCATTTTTCTCACTCTATGGCCTCCACTCGATTCTATAAGTGACTAATCTTTATTCTGAACAATTTAAAGGGTTGCTATGGCAAGGAAATGATTTTTCTGTACCATAAGTATTAGAATATGAGAAGCAGATGACATCACAAAAAGTATTACACTACAAGAAGTAAATGTCACTATGAAAAGTTTCTCACATTATTGTAAGGTATGTGACGGGCAAGCCGTCACGGGGTTCAAACCCCGCGCCACCGGGCCAGTGGCGCCCTCAGGCCCTGAGCCGCCGCGCTAGGCGCGCGGCCCAGGACACCGCGCCGGCGCGCCCGAGCCCCACCGAGCCGGCCCGAAGCTCGCCGAAGGCCCGGCGGGACGAGGCCCGCCGAGCACTCTTCCGTTCGACCTAGTGTGGCGACTACGTGTGTGCCCGACAATCTCGACCACGCCTGAAAGCCCGAACCGGAGCCGCCGAAGCCGTCCCTCCGACCGCCGACCGGTCGCCATCCACCTGCCACCGCCCGGCCACCTCACAGCCGTCCGCCTGCCCTTCGGTTTCGAGACGGCCGACCCATCCCGCCGGCCCGTGCCACGAGGCGCCCGCCGCCCGCCATTAGGCCCTGTCGTCAGCGCGCCCGTCTAGCCGTAAGTAGTTTAAGCCGTAGAGTAAGGTAATAGAGTAGGATTAAGCGTAGTTAGGGTAAGCGGTTAGAATTAAGTAATTTAATAGAATAGCCTTAGAAATAAAGATGTCGGTTAGAAATTCCGGGTCTCATTCTTCCCTTCCCCGTCCTTCCCAACTTCTCCATTACAAGTTGCGACTTACTGTGTTCCCATTCTTTTCCTAGGTCTTCCAATTGTGTCAGGTCGGTGAAGTCACGTCTCTGTATCCGTGCTTTGTATTCTAATGTGAGGTTGTCGTATGCAACGTATAAAAGTCTCTCAGATGGCATGGGAGGTTTAAGCTGTTCTGCGAGGGTTTGCAGGTGTAGCAGGTAGTCTGTAATGGGTTGGTGTGGGTGTTGCATGTATCTCTCGATTTTTCGTTGCAGTATATTCATATAGTCTTGTCCCTGGAATTTCTTTCGAATCTGTTCTTCGAAATCCTCGAATGAGTTCCAATCTTTCCTGTGTATGTTATACCAGTGTTTTGCGTTGTCTTTCAGTAGTACGAAGATGTTGTCTAACAATTGGTTATCGGTGAACACGTAGCTGTGTTGTAGTTGTCGTATCGTGCTGAGGAAAGTATGTAGGTTCTCATGTACTTGACCTGCATATGAAACTTTCCATGTGTTAATGGTGTAAATTGGTGGTTTGTAGTATGGTAGGGGTGGGGG